ACCACCCACCTCCTACTCAGGCAAGAAGCAGACCGCCTCCAGTTCACACCAGACATAACGGTAGACGACTACATCAACAAGCACAGAGCGCTCCGCATGCGCATGCGTCTCGCCAAATACCCCCACATATCCCCAGACGAAACCGTCACCGTGGACGCAATAATCAAAGGCCTTGAACACCACCCCACCTTCAAGCACCTACCCGATACCTGGACAGAAACAGCATCCGTCCCCACCACTGTACTCGAAATATCACAACGGCTCAACGCCGTACAAGCCCGCACCACCGCACGACAGGGCAACATCACACCAACCCCACAAGGGCTACCCGCAGCTGCCCCCCGCGAAGCGAAACGCGAACCCCCTACACGACCCCGTGGCCGTAATAGAAGACGAGGGCAACCCCGAGGATTGTGGTACAACCCACCATGGGCACACCCCGCACCATCCTATACCCCGTACCCCACTCATCCAACCCAACACTGGCCAGCACCACCGCAGTGGCACCCCATCCCCGCACAGGCAGACCAACCCCAGAGACGCACCGCCCCAAGCCGGACAACCAAAGCACAGCATGCCGCCACAGACCACACTGAATACCCACCGGATGAGATGCACGCCTTCCACTCCGACCTCCAGAGCGACCACGACGGTATGAACTATATCCTCGACTCAGGCGCCAGCCCCACGCACATAACCAAGGCCACACCCAACATGCGCCCCCTCACAAGGCGTATTATTACTAACACCGCGACATCCTCCACGTCGGCCGCGACACACTCTGGCACCCTGCAGATCAAAACCAACAAGAATAGAACGCTCACCATACCAGCGATCGCAAACCCCGCAATTCGCCAGAACCTCCTCTCCGTGCACGACATCGCACGCCGATACGGAGCCGTCACCTTCCGACCCCACAATGCAGCAATAATCTCCACCAACAAGAACCCCCCGGAAATAATTGCCACAGCACGCGTTAAAAATGGGCTCTACATCCTTAACCCACCAAACCACCCTCCGCATGCACACGCAGCGCGCACAACCCCGCGCAAACGCACTCAACACCTCAAAAAAAATTCCGGCAATACTCCCGCGGACCCCCAAGCAGAGCGGCTCTCCCCCTCCCACTCTCCACCGGCAATAACTCCGCTCCCATCCCCAAAAAAGCGCACCCCCCCTATGAAAGGCATGCACAACCCCGCCCCCCACCCCCCAACCCCGCGCAGCACCGCACTGGATCACGCCTTCCACCACTGGCACATGATCCTTAACCACGTGCGACCCGCCACCATCCAAACAATGGCACTCAAGGGCCTCCTGCCCAACATACCGCCATCACTCGCGCGATATGCCCCAAAAATTACCTGCCCCAGCTGTGCGCATGCAAAACAACGGTTTCGCCCCCACAAACCCACAACTCACAGATACCCCACAGGATTCTCCCTGAGCAGTGACATCTGCGGCCCGATCGCCCCACCGTCAAGACAAGGCAATAAGTACGTCCTCACAGTGCTGGACACCAGGACCAGATACCTCATCACCGACTTCATGCCCACCCGTGTCCACACGCCACAACGCCTTGACTACATCCTCACAGCCATAAAAAACAGCACCGGACACACACCACAAGTCCTCCGAACAGACAACGCGCTGGAATATCTATCCGCAACAGCCATACACACATACCAAAAACACAATACCACGCACTCAACCACTATCCCTTACACCCCCCAGGAAAACAGCTTAGCTGAACGCATCAACAGCACGCTCTTCAACGCCGCCCGTGCAGCACTACACCACAGTGGCCTCAGCCACCACCACTGGGAGGACGCCGTCCGTGATGCCACATTCAAATACAACCACACCATGCATCACGGAACACACGCACTCCCAGCCACCGAATGGCACAACGCCATCCCTGCTATTCCCCGATTCCACATATTCGGACAACTGGGAACAACCCCAGACCTTCGGCAACGTGCAAAAATCCCTAAACTCCAATCCCGTTCACGCACAGTACGATACCTGTTCCCCACCGACGATAATCACTTCACAGTCATGGATGTCACAACCTCCAAAATACACCGCATACGTGCCATCGACTTTCACCCCTATTTCGCCAACCAGGATCCAACCGCCACCTCCGCAGCCGCATTCAAGGCATACAGCCCACACAAGACACCACAGTCAATTTCTGTGTCCACCCCCGCACCCCTCAACCGCGGACAAGCTACAAAGTACCCAGATGCTGAACTGTGGGCATCCGCCCATGACAAAGAGCTCGATGCCTTGGACACCAAGCAGGTCATACAGTGGACCCCGGACAAGCTCCTTCCGCGCAATACCCGCCTCATTCCCCTCACCATGGGATATCGCTACAAACGCGACAAAAACGGACACGTCATAAAACGCAAAGCGAGATGCGCAGCCCGCGGCGACACCATGGTGCCGCACGTCCATTACAACCCGGACCGCACCACTACATACATGGCCGACAAATCCTCCGTGCGTCTTTTATTCGCCATAGCAGCTTCACACAACTTGCATATCGAACACATCGATATAGAAGCCGCCTACCTGCACGAAAAATTCGACCACAGTGGCCAGCAACCCGTGTACGTCCGCCAACACCCCCGTTTTGACGGAACGTACAAACACGCGTGCAAAGGAGGCAAGCTCATCAAAAACCTCTACGGTACACCCCAGGCCGGCTACACATACCTCACCGCGGTATTTTCCCTCCTCCAACGTCACGGATTCCAGCATTCTGAAGCCGACACATGCTTGTTCCACAAAATAACACCCACCACGGCAACTTTTGTGGCCATCAGCATGGACGACTTCACAATAGCGGCAACCTCCGCCGCACTCCTTGACAACTTCGCGCACATCCTCGCCAGCGCATACACCATCAAACGCCTCGGCGAACCGCGAACACTACTAGGATGGACAATTAACAGGGCCCAAAACGGAGCCCTCCACATCTCTCAGCCCACGGCCACGGCGAGCATACTCCGCAAAGCGGAAATGCACATCGCCAACAGCAAGCCTACCCCGTACCAAGACGGAATCCGCCTTCACGGCCCCACCCCCGAGGACGAACCGCTTTCATCACAAGCGAAGGAGTACCAAAGGATACTCGGAGACCTGCGGTACATCGCAGATTCGACACGCCCCGACATATACTTTGTCGTGAATCGGCTGTCGGTCGCCTCCAAAGCCCCCACGAAGAGACATTGGAACGCCCTCAAGCGCGTCCTCCGATACCTCCGTCACACCCCCAACCACGGGCTCCTCTTCCCCGCAGCCCACCACAAGCTGCGCCCCAGCACACCCCCACCCAAACCCATCTCCCAAGCATCTCTCCTCACGACATACTCAGATACTGACCACGCCGCGGACGTCACAGACCGAAAATCAATTTCCGGCATCGTTCACCTCTACAACGGCACCCCCGTCTGCTGGGGCTCCATGAAGCAGAAAATCACGGCTCTCTCCACATGCGAAGCCGAGTACATCGCCGCCACAGCGGCAGTCCAGCAGACAGCATGGCTACGCAGGATCCTCCGCGATCTGCGCATGCTCAGCCCCCACCCAACCCCCTTCTACATGGACAACCAGTCCGCCATCCGCGTCGCCCACAACACCGGCCCCACCAAGCGACGCAAGTACATCGACCTGCGACACCACTTTCTGTCGCATCACGAGCGCAAAGGACACATCAAACTGTCCCATGTCCCAAGCGCGGACATGCTCGCGGACATCCTGACGAAACCACTCAGGACAGATCCCTTCCGCAAGCTCACGGCGAAACTCAAAATCATCGCCGCACCCCCACCCACCCCCCCGCACACACAGTCGGACAGCGACCACACAGCGACGGGGGGAGTGTCATGATTCCCATGTCCTGTTTCTGTCGCTCTATGGTCGCAGTGCCTCCACTCTGTCATGATTCCCATGTACAGCACACACACCTAGGACACGCATACACGCACCACAGGTGTCACCCAGATAGACAGCGGCGCCGTGCCTCCGCCGCCGCCTCTTATTAGAGCCTCGTCCGCTAGCCTCAGTAAAACAGAGTCATCGTTCCTTGCACCACATGGTGCAAGCAATTTTTGCAGACACTTGCTCGGTGCATCGATATATGGTAGACCTGGAATCAGAAAGGGTTGGCGGGGCCACGTGTACGACCTGTTCTGTCGCCCATGAAGTGTCCACGTGTACACCTCAGATCGTTCGTACACGTGTGGACACTGATCCTCGGTGGCTCTTGTAGAAACCTGTGTACAGTGTACCGCCGATCCCTGCGCCCGCCTTTTCCACAGACAGCTTGCTGCCCCCCTCACCTCGCACGGGCTCGCTCCGGAGGCTGTTGCAGGACCGGGTCCTCGCCGTCTTCAAGATATGCAGGAAGGATCCGCACAGGTAGGGGCCGTGCCGAGTGGCAGAGCGGTTTGGGGTTCACGAGACGCATGTGACGGATTTGCTCAGGTATGCAGGGGCTTATACGGAAGGTTTGGTTTGGATCAGGATGGTTTGGTTAGGGCCTGCTACAAGGCTGGTTTGGAGGACAAAATTGTTGCGTTTGAGGGAAACTGAACAACCAATGCACGAGTTTGTGTTGCTTGGGTGATCGCCGGACGCTGGCGCCAATCCGCGGTGTGGGGGTAGATCGAAGTTTTGGGAGGCGGACGAGTAGTGACGGAGGCGGAGGTGGATTCGATTTCGCGACAAGCCGCGAACGTAATTTCTATTTGATCCATTACCGTTGTTTTCACCGGCTATGCCGGCATTCAGCTTTGCATACAGCCGAACATGCCGTCATGCGACGTACCCGACGTGAGTGTGCGTGTTCATGGCCGGTGCGGGGCAAGGCTACGCGTCCTTCCTTTGTGAAGTTGCAGTGAATTACGAAGGTAGCAGAGAGAGGATTACTGCTCAAAGTCGGTTACCGTCAGAAAGAACAAGATCGGATCCATCCAAAGGGAGAAACACTGATGACGCGAATGAGGTTTCTGGAAGGCGATGTACATACGATCGGTGCAAACTGCACTTCACATCCACCGGTTGGGAAGTATGCAAAACCTGATTATCGACATTCCGCACTTCCAGAGGAGCTCTACGTTAACCTCACATATACATTTAGAGCAGAAAAATCAATGTATGCCCCAGCCCGCACGAGTGTCGCGAGCAGATGTCGAGCTTGCCTTTCTTGTATTGATCCAATGGGTTAGTCGCGAAGAATTGGCGACGAACGCATATATATCCACTCGAGCACGTGCCCCATTATATAGGGCACGTGCCCGAGTGGATATAGCGCAGAGTCTTCCTTTGGGCAAAGCTGAACAGCTTGTCGTCGACTGTACGTAGACAGCCCGGCAAGGAAGAGCGCTCCGATTGCGTGCAGGTTCTCACGGGGCCAGAAATGGAATGCCTACGACCAGGATGCTGGCCGTAGGCATTCAATTTATCCATCAAGAAGTTGGTGTATTTGTCGATGTGGCGATGGTTGAGGTATGATAAGGGAAGGATACTAAGGATACTGAACTACGGTTGGCACCCCGGTGCTCTATTAAGTCGGCGGCGACGGCCGCTCTGTGACCTCGCGCCCTCCCGGGTTGTCGGAATATAGCAAAGTCTAAGAGTCGTTCTCTACTTTGCTCGCCCCTCGGCGTGCGGCCGAGGCTCCGGCGCTGGCGGCCCCTGCCGCCACAGAAGCGGCAGGGCCTAATGGGTGTGACGAAGGAGGGCGGTGTCGGACGAAACTAATGACCACTACGTGGTCTCGGCGTTAGCCGGGATCTACAAGGGTGAGCGCGGTCTGGTAGCCCGAGTAAACTTCATCTTTCTCTAACTCTCTTTGTTTGTCTCGGGACCAGATTGACAGTATTCGTCTACTCTGTGGTCTTTACTCGTCGTCGCCGTCGCGTCTCCTAAATACTGTTGTTGACAGACTGTGTACCGGACAGTCTGTCCTTGCGGTCCGTCACTCCCGGTATTACATAGCCACTACTCGTGCTCCCCCCCTCCGCGTTCACGGCAATTACATCGACACCACTCGTGCCCCCCTCCCCGCGCTACAACGCCCTCGTCGCGCACCGCGGCGCCAAGCGCGCGGCCGCGAGCACGGCCCACCGGACGGGCGCGAGCAGCGCGTGCGCGGCGGCCGGCGGCACGGCGGTGGTGTACGTGGTGGCGGCGATGCCGTCCACGACTATGTCGCCGTGCGCCGTCAGGGGGTTGTAC